ATACAAGTGATTGTGATAGCTTTTTTGCACTGCCAGTTATTGGCAAGCATTGAAAGTGGGACATTATAAACCAAAATCCTGGGCTAGGGGTGGCTCAAAGCCTGATTGCTTGAGTGAAGTTTAGAACCAGGGGACATCAACAACTATGCGAATATAGATCCATCAACAAAGTTGAGAATCAGATACTGCAATGAAACCACAATACCTGAGCTTGGGAAAAACTAAAGGAAAACGATACAATTGCACGCACTCATGACACAAAGTCATAAAACTCGAAGTGTCAAATTATATTTTGGTCCTTAAAGTTTATGGTTGTATGATTAAGTCCTAAACCAACAATTACTGAAAATAATCTTTATTTTCTATCGTTTTTACCCCTGTTGATATGACCTCATTTTTGTTTCCATCATATTGAACAATTACCAACCTACCTGCTGAAAATAAAATTTAAACTGTTTTCAAATAAAGTTAAACATAAAAGGAATATTTTAAATAAAATAAAATAAAATAAACTTCAATATACGCGTTACAACTATATTTATAGACTAGACAGACAAGGCTACGCCTAGAAAAAAGTCGAAGAAGAAACCCATGTTGATATGAAGCCTCCAGTTGTTTTCCTATTATTATCTTTCTAATCAATTTTGGATTTAATTATTTACCTAATAAAGAACGCGTTACAACTATATTTATAGACTAGACAGACAAGGCTAGGCCTAGAAAAAAGTCCAAGAAGAAACCCATGTTAATATGAAGCCTCAAGTTGTTTTCCTATTATTATCTTTCTAATCAATTTTGGATTTAATTATTTGTTCTAAGTTGTTTTTCTATTATTATTTTTCTAATCAATTTTGGATTTAATTATTTGTTTCTTACTTAGCTTAGGACTTTTAACTTAATTATAATTAATTAGTTAAGAATTTTAAAGCTAGACCTATAAATTAGGTAAGGTTTAATCAGGTATCATTTTCTATAAAAGATTTCAGGCTTATAACTAATTTAAATAGAAATGTCAATTTATTTTAAAAACATTAAAATTACTCAAACTTTTAATAAAATATCAGAGTTTTGTGTTGGCTTAGGAACGAAGTATGGATTGTTTGGAGGAAGACATGAAAGATCTAACTCGGTTAATATATAATGCAAATAGAGATCATGAAAAGAAAAAGAAATTGCTTGGAGACTTTCCTTGAGTTAGGCCTAACCTTAGACCTATTCCTAAAGATCTATCCAAACAACTAGTTGTTTATGTGAAAGGTGGTGGTGGAGATAAATTTGGTGGAGGTCATTAAGCCTTAGCATTTCAAGGCAAACCACCACAACAAAAACATGATTTTCACATTAAGGTAGAAACCTTGACATTCAATAAAGATTTGACATAGAAAAATTCCTTGATTGAGTCGCTAAATATAATAGGGTTAATGAGTACTCAAGTTTCTTAGTAGAAAAGATTGTGAAATTGATCACATCTAATCTGATGAGTGGAGTTTCTTCCTAGTAGAAATGTCTAACAAATACATTGTTAAAAGAAATGAAATAACCTATTACATTATAGATGTATGTAAAGCAAGTATTGTATGAGAGATTTCTTTTTTCTATTTATGAGTAGTCTTTGTTTCAGTTATATCAAGATTGTTCACAAGGTAATAAATTTGTTAATGAGCATACCACTAAATTTCAAAGGTTAGCATAACATAATAGGCTTCGAAGGCTTCGAAAGACAAATAATCAAAAGTTCCAAAGTTTTTGAGAGGGTTAAAGCTGGTAATACAAGATAAGATTGGGATTGTAGGTGTTGTTCATGCTTTTTATTGCAAGGAATATGGTATTGAAGGCTAAAACGCTAATGAAAAAGACAGTTGATAATAATAACAAATTTGACAGGTTTGAACCTTTTAGGATGTTGTATAATGAGACAAGCAAATATGGTCCTACTAATATCGAAAAACCAGTACAACCATTAAAGCTAACTCCAGTGAGGCTAAATACTATTATTAGACCTAACAAGACTTTGAGAAAAAAAGTTAAAATGAATAAACCGAATAACCCCTATGTCAGGCTAATGATTGTCAAATGCTTTGATTGTGAAGAACTAAGATACCAATCCAGTGATTGTAAGGGACAAAAATCGATTAATCTGATCAAAAGATAACATGAGTGAGAATACTCTAATGAAAAAAAAGAGTTATGTAAACCCAATAGGGGTGACAAAAAAAATTTGTATAAGTATGATGCTAATAAAAGACAGACCTATATAGTTAAAAAAATGTTGATAATAGCAAAAGTTGCTGAGAATTCATAGTGAAACAAGTTCTTTCATACTCGTTGCACTATAAATAAAAATATGATAATCAGACTTGATTATTAATAATAAAAGCGATGTAGACCCAATAAAGGTGACAAAAAAGATTTGTACAAGTATGATGCTAATAAAAGACAGATCTATATAGTTAAAAAAATATTGATAAAAGCAAAAATTGTTGAGAATTCATAGCAGAATAAGTTCTTTCATACTCGTTGCACCATAAATCAAAATACGATAATCAAACTTGATTATTAATAATAGAACCTATGAAAATATTATTGATAAACATACCACTGATAAATTGAAATCACCACTAAAACCTCATCTTATAATTTACAAAATTGGATGTATTAAGTTAGTAAAAAAAATAAGGGTAAACCAATATTATAGAATACTTTTTTTTATTAGAAAGTGTAAGGATGAGATGTATTGCAATGTGGTAAATATTGGTGCATATAGTTTGATTTTCAGTAGGCTTTGGCAATAAGTTATGAATGCTAAACACCTGGGTAGAGATAATTTGTACAATATTAGAAAGAATTGTATGAATTATACTTTTGCGCCTTTAAAGGAATAATCCAAACCTAAAGGGGAAGTGCAAGCAAAGGTATGAGAGGCAAATGAAGTGCCTTTAAAGGAATAATCCAAACCTAAAGCATTTAAAGTAAAGGGGAACTGCAAGCAAAGGTATGAGAGGCAAATGAATGCATTGATTGGTTGTGAAGGCATTGGATGAACAAGTAAAAATGAAAATGGTAAACATTCATGAAGCAATTAAGTCTTTACTTGTTGAGTTTAAAGAGATTCTACTTTATGGATTGCGAGATGGATGGCCACCAATGAAAAATATTTAGCATCAAATTGATTTAGTGCCAAGAGCTATCCTTCCAAATCTACCATATTATTGAATGAGTCCCAAAGAGGGAGGGATAATAAAGGAGAAGGTAGAAAAATTGTTAACAAAGGAACAAATCATGCGAGTCTAAATCCTTGTGTAGTTCCAACAATATGAACTTTAAATAGGGATGGCAGGTGGCGTACATGTATGGATAGTCGCACCATCAACAAAATAACTATGGGATACAAATTTTTCATTTCTTGGTTAGATAACATGCTTGATCAATTACATGGGGCATTAATCTTTACAAAGATTGACTCGAGAAGTGGTTATTCAAATTCGACCAAGCAAGGAGTGGAAAACAACTTTTAAAACAAAAAAAGGATTGTATGAATCTAGTTCTAAGTCCTTTTATAATATATTTGAGGTTGATCACATGGGGCACCTCAAAGAGGTGTTTGAGGTGTTGCTGAAAAATAAGTTATATGTGAATATGAAAATATATAATTTTATGCATGATAAGCTACTGTTTTTAAACTTTATTGTTAGTGCCTATGACATACATGTCAAGAGGATAAGTTTGGGATATTAAAGATTGACCAGCTCTTAAAACAGTTAGTGAAAGATGTATTTTCCATGGATTGACTACTTTTTATTAGAGATTCATATGAAATTTCAACGATATTGTTGCACCCATTACAAAATGCATGAAGAAAAAGAAGTTTGATTAAGGAGAAGAGACAAAAAAAGCTTTGTTTTAATCAAAGAAAAATTAAACAATGTTATGGTTTTAATACTTCCAAATTTTGATAAATTATTTAAGATAGAATGTCATACTTATAGTGTCGCGATTGATGTTTTACCCCAAGAAAAGAGATTTATTGTTTTTTTTAGTGAGAAGTTCAAGTAATGCTAAATTAAAGTAGTTCACATATGATAAAAAGTTATATTATTTTTCAAACTCTTCATAAGTGTGACTATTATCTAATCAACAAGAAGTGTGTTATATTATGATCATAAGACGATGGAATTTTTAAATAATCAAAGAAGAATTAATAATAACATTCATGCTCAATGGGTCACTTAAATATAGTTGTTCCTAATTAAAATTGAGTATAAGGCTAGGATTCAGAACAAAGTTGTTGATGCTTTGAGTATGAAAGCAACCTTATTGATTATCTTATGGGATGAGACTTTGATTACTTAAAAGAGTTGTATAAACATTAAGGTGTGGAAGAAGTGTTAAAATTTGTTTGTTGATGATTTTCACATTTATTATGAATTTCTTGTAAAGGGAAATCAACTTTGTATTCCTCATTTTTCATTACGATATAAGGTTATTTGGGATTTTTCTAAAGGAAGTTTGACTGGTCATTTAAGGCAATAAAAGACTATTGGTGTTGTTTTTAACATTTAGTTTTTGCCTTATTTAAAATAGGATATTAGTAAGTTTGTGCAAAAATGTTATATTTGTCAAACGATCAAAGGCAAGTACAAAATACAAGTCTATAAATGCCTTTACTTATTCTTGAAAATATTTAGAAATACTTGTCTATAAACTTTGTACTTGGATTGCCTCATGCACAAAAAGGAATGGATTATATATTTGTTGTAGTTGACAGGTCCTAAGAAATAACATATCTTAATCCTTGTAAAAAAATGAGTGATGCATTTATGAATCTATTATTGCTTGGCTTTTCTTTCAAGATATAGTTTTGTTTACATAAGGAGAAGCATATGATATGAAGCCTTAAGTTGTTGTTTTCTGATTATTTTTTTCTAGTTAATTTTGAATTTTAATTATTTATTTTCTATTTAGTTTAAAACTTGTAATTTCATTAATATTTTATAAGTTAGGAATCCTATTGTTAAATGGATTCTATTAATTAGATAAGTTTTAATTAAGAATTCTTTTTTATAAAGAACATTAGTTCTAGAACTAATACAAATAAAAATATCTAGTTTATTTTAAGGAGATTTGAACTATTTATACTTTTAATAAAATATCAAAATTTTCTTTAAATTTCTTTATAGTTTTGAGCTTCAAAACTTATTTTTTATCTATGTTATACGCCGTGTCACATCCACATTTCATCAATTAAAAAAACAAACACCACGAGTAAATGTTATTTCTTGTTAATTTTCTATAATAATTTTTTGTATTTTGCAAAAGTTGCATGATAATTTTTTTTATTTCTATTATATATATATAGATATATATATATAAAATATTGTATAAATGAATAACTATATTGCTTATATTTAGAATCAAACTACAAAATTTGTAATAGAATAGATTATATTTTGTTAGATTGGAAATAGAAGTATTAGAAAGGCTACGAGAAAAACAACTTAATACCAACTAAATTCTTGTGTTTTTTATATAAACAAAAACCGTTGTGAATGAGAAAATAATAGTGAAAAAAGTAGACTCATTTAAAAAAAGAAAATGCGAGACAGAGAATTAAAATTTTGAAGTGAATTGAAGTTTTTCAATACTTTTGGTAGGGCCAAGTTAGTATAATTACTATAAATAAAAATCAATTATAACCAATTTAGTATTTTATTTCCAATCACATGGTAAAGCATGGTTATATTCATGATCTTGACATTAGTGTCTTGAAATATATATATAAATGCTAGAATATTACAGGAAAAAAAAAAAGGAACCTTAATTTATGAACTAAGTTGTCAAAATTGTTAGTGTAGAGTGTGGTTTGTATTCCAGCATCAAACCCCTAGGCTGAAGTGAAATTATGAATGAAGACAAAATGTGCTAAGGACGAAAAGAAGACAAAAATCCGACTGTTAAGATTCTACTGTGCTGTGAGACTATGTTACTCTGTGTGCCACTGTATCATGGACCAAAACTAAAATGGTCAAGGGAACAGATTCATGTTTTGTCTTTACTTTTCCTGTACATGAAAATCGTGGTCAAGAGAACGGTACAATGCTACGAGGGAAGCAGTATCCTACTGGAATAGATATCACAATATTCATCCATCCCTTACAGCTAACACATAATGCTTCTGAAGCAGATAGATTGATGCAAACCATTACGAAAACATACCCATCTAATATATGCTCATGCAGAAGCAAATTAGTATTAGAAAGACAAAATACACTCACCATGGAGTTAGGAATCCAGAGTTCAAAGTTGATGTAACGCTTCGTTCCACAAGAACCTCACGTATCCGCGCAAAATGCTGTGCAGCAGATGAGCAGATTTCCAAGTATGCTGACCCTGATCTCGAACCACTATCACCATTTCCAAATAAAAGACTGCCACCGTTTTGAACTCTTAAATTTTCAGTGTTCTTGGTATGTCCGATCATTCTTGAAATTCTCTTTCTTGGTCCAATTTCATTGCAGTTCACATTCTCCTTCCTTACACCAGCGTATACCACATCACATGGCTGGTCTGGAGATGGGGTCTCAGGCACAGTCATTTGGCTCTCTTTAAGAGCTTCTCTAGCTTCAGCAACTTTTCCTGGAGTAGTTTGCTGTACAATTTTTTCCGGAGGTATATTCTCCTGGTCTCTCGTAGTTTCATCACGTGATGGTGCCCCACAATCTGATAACTCAAGATAAAATGGACCAGCAGAAACTTGATTGAACTTAAAACAAGATGTTGCGCTCAAACCAAAGCCTCCTTGAAAGTCATTCTCATAACAGACCTGAGAATATGGGCTTGTAACTGAATCAAGGTGATGCCGAACTAATTGCTTGCACTGTTTGGCAAGATCCTTTATGAACCTACTATAAGCATGCCTTAATGCAGCATGAAAACCTACATACCCGTCCATATTTCCATTTTTCTTATCATCTGCACAATTGAAGTAAAAATATTTTGCATATCAATTTCAAGAATTAAGCTTTTGAAAACTAAAAAACAAAATTGCAAATTACACGTTGTGCTCAGATTCCAGGCAAAAAATGATGGTGCTGTTATTTTCTCAGGATTTGAATACTATATGAGAAGAGAACAACCACTGAAAGGTTTGGTGCAGGATGTCATGCATTATGAAGTATTTAATTTCTAAAAATCTACACCCCGATCACAAGATGTATGAACTTTGTGGGTAAAAGAAGCGCTCCTGACTACAATGACATGATATGAAAGAAGCCGTGGATTCTATTTTTTGTTATTTACTATTAGAATCCAGTAAATCCATATGCCCCTTTTATAACAAGAACCTCAATTCATCCCCTAAATTATTCTGGAAATGGAGAAAATATGGACCAAAAGTTATACTAGACTTAAAAGGCTTCTTACATTCTGAGTCGCGGATGTGATTTCTTTCTAAAGCAAGGTCAAAGAGATTCCCAAGAACAAAGGCAAGCCGATCACAGGCTGTGTCAAGTAGAGGAGCAAGCCAAGACCGGGAAGCAGCGCGGGCAATCTCAGCAGCAGCTTCTGTCACACCTCTACCTCCACCACGACCAGCATGGGCAAGTAATATATTTGCCACCTGTTTCAAGAAGGCTAAATAATTTAGCATTCACTGTTTGCTAATTTCAAATGTTCTAAACCTTTGTTTCTCTTAAAAAATTAATACCTTCTCCCTGGATACTGGAGGACATTCAATGGAATATGCAGCACACCGGAACTCATGCATTACTCTTTCAAAAGCAGCTCCTCCATACAGTCTAAGAGTAGCATTGGGAGGTTTTATATCTACAGTAACACCTGGCCAAATCCCAATACCACTCTCTGCCTGCTCCTCTACTGTTGTTTTCCCCCACTGCTCGGGGGCAGGATCGGCTGCTCCATCAATCAAAGCTCCCTTCACCAATACCAATAGCCAGAGAAACTTCATAACTTAATCACTGTGAAAGCTGCATGATCTCTCGCTCAATGATAGGTAAAAACTCAAGAACTATATGCTATCTTCCAGAAGAGGGACTGTTTATTGCTATGCTAGACATAATTCTTAGTTAAAGAACACAGTGGGGACAAACAATATCTGTCTGTAAGTGATCAGGTACAATTTAAAAATCCAGAAATAAATCTTGAATATTGATCAACGTGAAGCACATTTGCAGTTAACCAACACATTATGCAAAAACACATTATCTACCCTAAACAAGAAATTCAAGGAATATTGCATGTTCCAAAAGAATGAGCAAAATGATCACTTACCACATGATTGCTAATAGAAGCTGCATGCAACATTGCAGATCTCCGCAGATGAGCAACATCAGAAGTAGCTAATATTTTCGAGTCCATTCTATCCAGCTCAGCATTAACTTCACAACAGCGTTGCTCAAGGAGAGCTAGGGTTGCTGGAGCAGCTTCTTTGTATCTCTTTTGAAGTTCAGACTCCAAATAGTCCCTCAGACTGCTGAAACCAATATAGGGCCGAAACTTCTCTTCATCAAATCCTCCCTTGACCCCATCACGTAAATGATGTAGAATTTCTGAATCCACATGAGATATTTGCCTGCGGAATTCATCATTTGTTATGGTGTTTTTATCCTTTGGCAAAGCCACAAAGAAAGGATGAATGTTCTCCCCTAGGTATCCACTTGCACTTAGATAACGATCCACTTCCCAACGGTCACTAAACTCCTGCATTGATTGAAAGTGCCATGAATAAGAATCAGGCGCAACAAGTTCAGAGTAAAAGTCAAGTTACTGAAACATTATTGCACAGCAGGATACAAGGCTTCTCTGTTGCTATTTTCTCAACAACAGAATGATCCTCATCTTCAGTCACACAGTTAAAAGCAGAGATCATCACCTAATGCATCTCTAATACATGTTTTTTTCCATTCCATTAGCTACTTGTATTACAAAAATAACTGGATACGATGTCAACAGAATAATATGGGATTTTGTGATTCATATTCCACTCCGTATAGTACGTGTATTGATTTCTCTCATTTACCATCACCCTTTAACCTCATCATTTTTTTTTCAAAAACAAATTAATCATACCTTGAGCCTATTGTCAAATTTTGAAACAACGATTACTGTCCTTCTGAAGTTTGGATCAATGTCCTTAATTGCATCCAACCATAATGATGAACACCATTCCACACTACTCTGTTGAAGGAACAAAAGAATACGATGGGGAGGACTGGCCAAAGACTTCACCATCGAAAGAATTTCATCAGGCGTGTTCTCTGGCTCTCCTTTCCTTGCCTGAAATAAAAATTTCACACCAATAAGAAACCATTACATAACCAAAAACTTGCGAACTTACAATTCACCTTGAAGCTAAACAACCAACCTTAAGGACAAAGCCAGGGGTATCAATGATGGTGAGATTAGGACAATGTGCATATTCAGCTCTCATCACAATTGGCTTAGAAGAAACTGCAGTTTTAGTCCTTTTCAAAAGCACCTCTGTACGGGATTTTATAATGTCCGCAATTGTCGTTGAAGACACAACAGAGCTTCCATATTCCTCAGAATCCTCTTCCTGAATTCAATGGACAAGTTTGTCACATTGTCACTAACCAATTTGCCATTTCTCTATCCCATTCCATGTTTGTCAGCAAGAAATAAAAATAATTCAAAATCCCAAATGCGGACACCCAACAATACTCAAATTTACAAAATAAAATAACAAAAACCCTAATTTCAAAACAGATATTGAAATCCCTTATTCACTCAAAATAGCATTCAATACATAGTATATAATTCACATGAGAAAAGTTTTTTTAAAAAAAATACCCACATAAGAAATCAAAAAAAGAAGCCTTCAAGACCAGAAAAAATGGAAACCGCGTAAGAAGTATGAAAGGCAATAGAAACCCAGTTTGAATAAAAGATACCTGAAATCTACAACGGGGTTCTAGAGCGGAAGGGTCATGAACCATCTGAAGAATGAGGGGTCTACGAGTACCCATTTCGACTTCACGGACATTGAATCTGAATCCAAGAAGTGCTTCAAGAAGCGAGCTTTTGCCATCAGATTGACCACC